CCCCGCGGGCCAGCAGCCTGTGTTTATGGTTAAAGGGTTGGCAGCAGGAAGCAGCAGCTTCCTGGGAGGAGACATGTCCCAGATACCAGGTTTGCAGATACAGCTTCGTGGCTCCGGGCTCTTGATGATTCAGGAGGTGGGAGTGGGCGAGGTGAGCCCTCACCTCCACATGCCTTGTTTCTGTGTCTGTGCTCTCGACACCTTGCTGGCGGCGTGCAGGTGCCCGGCGCGAGGTTACTGCCTGTAAAGAGCTCTTGCGATGTTACGTCGGGCTTATTTAACATTAGCTTTCTTTCCTGTTTTCCACCAACAGATGAGCCCCCTAGTCCTGGCGGGAAAGGCGCCTATGCCTCTGGGACAGCGGCCAAGATAACATCCGTCTCCACTGGAAACCTCTGTGCTGAGGTCTGAGACGTGAGCACACAGATGCTCCGACAGCAGACCCTTGGGTTCCCCCAGGGGGCCTGAGTTATCTAGGAAAATGTTCTCATGGTTTCTGGTTCCTGAGTGTTTGGGTTTTGAATTTTTAATATAATGGGTAAATGAGCTTTCAGTTAGTAAGTCGGGGCAAAATAAAATGTTTTTTAATTATTCTCAGTACAGGATCCAACACTTTAAATTTTTAACACCGTTCTTAAAATACACGGATCCTACTTTAAAAGAGGGCATTGGAAATCAGGTCAGTCTGTGGTACAGGCTGCGGAAAGCTCAGCTTCCTTCCCTCTGCCCGTCGGCAGGAGCAGACGCCGCCCCCCCGAGCCGAGGCCTACCCCATCCCGACGCAGACCTACGCCAGGGAGTGCTTCACCTTCCCGACCTCCAGGTCCCAGGAGCGCACGGCTCCTCCTCAGGACCAGTGGCCCCATTACGAGGAGAAGCCCCACGTGCACGCGGACAGCAGCCACTCCACTACTGCAGGCCAGGTGAGAGGGGCGGGGTCCCAACACGTCCTTGGCCCTCAAGGGGACCAGCTTGCAGGAAAGCGGAGGGATTTCTGGGGCACAGCTGACACTTTCTGCAGAGCAGCACTGCTGTTCCTCTCTTTGTCTCTCTCGGGTTTTGTGGTCACCTGAGGAAAAGAGGGCATAGGAGAGAATACTGAGCGTGAAAGGTGGTTCTCTGCTCTCTTACTGAAGGCTTAACTAGGGTCTGTAGGCGAGGCTCACTGATCCTGGAGTGGGGGGTGGGGGGGAAGCAGGAGGCGTCCCCGGCACTCGGCGCGCATCGGCGGCTGTTCCAAGCCCCGGGAAAGCTGAGACGGCCGTGGTCCTGCCTGTGAAGCTGAAGCTGGGGTGGGACGCTCACCTAGACCGTAATTACGTGAGCTGGGTTCTGAGCTGAGGGTAAGAGGCCCGAGGAGGGTCGCCTCGGCAGGGGCAGCGTGAGTGAGGCCAGGAGGAGCCCCGTCTGACGGGCCCCGGGCACGAGTCGCCTGGCTGTTCTGTTCGCCCTGAGGCAGACCTCCTTCCCTGCGTGGAGGCACGGAGGTTGGACAGCGCCAGGGACCTGCATGCCTATGGCCTGTGAGTGCTGTTTGCCTCGGCCTCACAGCGTGGGTAATAAGCACCGGAGGAGGGCCAGGGAGTTGAACGGTCACTTACGTGGGATGTTGAAATGACCAAGAATTTGACAGGACTTATCGGGGCGGGGGGCGGTGAGTGGGCACCAGCAGCGAAGTGAAGTCTTCGAGGAAAGCGAAGGATGACTCCGGTATCACTGGACTGCGAGGGTTAGCAGGCGTGTAGTCTGGATGCACGAACTCCAAAGCTTTATACTCGAGAAGTGCCTTCCACGCGTAGCAGGCAGTCTGGTCATGCTTTTATGTGAGCTGCAGATCGTGAGCCCAGTAGTCAGAAAGCTGTGCTTCTGCATACACAGCAAAGCTGTAGAAAATGTGGAGAGTAAATGTTCCATTTTTCTAGCAGGCTGCTGGTTTTTCAAGTGATACATTTCATTTTTTTGTTCTTGGTGTGTCTTTTGAGAAAAGGGAAATAGTTTATTTTCCAGATTTGTGTCTTCAATTTCTACTCATTAATAGGGCTGGAAAGAAAACTGTTTGGCTGGGACATCATAGCAGATCATTTTCTGGGGGCTTCCCTGGTGGCGCAGTGGTTGAGAATCTGCCAGCTAATGCAGGGGACACGGGTTCGAGCCCTGGTCTGGGGGGATCCCACATGCCGCGGAGCAGCTAGGCCCGTGAGCCACAACTACTGAGCCTGCGCGTCTGGAGCCTGTACTCCACAACAAGAGAGGCCGCGACAGTGAGAGGCCCGCACACCGTGATGAAGAGTGGCCCCCGCTTGCCGCAACAAGAGAAAGCCCTCACACAGAAACGAAGACGCAACACAGCCAAAAATATAAATTAATTAATTAATAATCTCCTACCCCCAACATCTTCTTAAAAAAAAAAACACATCATTTTCTGTCGCATCACACCACTTTCAGACATGCCTCTTCCACGCGCAAGACTAGCCTCGGAAGCAGGTGTACTCACTCTGTCTTGTACACGTGCAGCGGGTGTGTCCCTCAGATCATCCCGCTGCCTTTCTGAGACTCGGGTGCAGGCTCATCCCTCCTCGCCGCGCCCAGCTCTGTCTATGCGCTCATGGGCCCGTGGTCAGCTGGTGGGACTCAGAAAGTCGCGGATGGATCACGTGCCTAGGATTTGATAATTAGTCTGAATGCTAATTAGAATTTTACTGCAGAGAGGTAGTTCTTGTCGCTCTTCACGACACCGGACTAAGCACATTCCTCTGCTCAGGGTCAGCCCCGTGTCTGGCACTGCAGTGCAGACGCCCGTGAGGCCCCAGAACAAGGACGGTGCCGGACGTGGAGAGCCGGAGCCTTCGTGCATTTCGCTGTTTGGCCATTGATGCGGAGAGGACTCGCCACTTTCCCTTTTCCCCTTTAGCTTTCTAACAGATGCAGACGTCCTCTGGGAAAGCGTCGTCGCGGGATTAGCGCTGGGTGCGGGCAGCCTCGGCCCGTCCTGTACGCTCACTGCACCCTTTCCCTAACGCTCCTTTCTTCCTGAGCTGAACTGTTTATGTACTTTCAGTAACTTCTGACTGTGGCTGAAACACAGCGGTGTCCCGTTTTCTTTTTCCAGCGTGTGACCCGGTCCCAGGAGGAGCTCCGGGAGGGTGTCGGGTACCACCTGGAGCGGCAGAGGGTGGAGGCTGCGATGGAGCGCAGGTCTGACGGCGGCGACGTGTGGCTCAACCAGGGCTCCTCGCTGGGCTCCAGCACGTCCAGCCAGGAGCACCTGGGCCCCCCCTCCAAGGCGGGCACCCCCGCATCCACGCTCACCAAGAGCGGCCCTGGGCGCTGGAAGACCCCAGCCGCCTCCCCGCCGGTGCGGACCGACCCGCCCCCCGGGCACTACGGCGACGGGGACGGAGTCCCCGCGGACGCGCCCCTCCCGCCGCCTCCCACCGGCGCCCAGGCGGCCGCAGAGCGGAAGAAGCGGGAGGAGCAGCAGCGCTGGTACGAGAAGGAGAAGGCGCGCCTGGAGGAGGAGCGCGAGCGCCGGCGGCGGGAGCAGGAGCGCAGGCTGGGCCAGCTGCGGGCGCAGGCTCCGCCCCCCGGTTTTCTGTATTGAAAGCTTGAATTATTCGTTTTATATTTGGATCCTTCTGAATCTTAGTGTAACTTTTGGAATATGAATTTATAATTGAATATTGAGATGTGAAGCCGTGAAATCAGAAATATTAACAAATCAATGTAGCAGCAGCAGCTGCACATCGTGGACCTGCTGAGCCGCGAGATCCAGGAGCTGCAGGGCAAGGCCGAGCGCTCGGCCGAGGAGAGCGACCGCCTGCGCAAGCTCATGCTGGAGTGGCAGTTCCAGAAGCGGCTGCAGGAGTCCAAGCAGAAGGACGAGGACGACGAGGAGGAGGAGGACGACGACGTGGACACCGTGCTGCTCATGCAGCGCCTGGAGGCCGAGCGCAGAGCGCGGGTAACGGGCCGGGCGGGTGGGCACGCGGCACGGGCTCCCAGCCTCCGCGGGGCGTGGGCGTGGCCGGAGCTGCTGTCCTGGGGCGCCGGGGCGAGATGCTCTGGGCATGTGCGCTGGAGAGGCGCTGGTTCTGCGCGGTCAGACGGCGCTTGACGGCTGCGGGGCGCCCACTGGCTGCGGCCGGCCGGCTGGCACGTGGGTGGAGAAGACGCGTTAATAACCGGTGATCACCGTGGTCAGTTGTTGGCAACGTGTCTTTCAGCGGCCGCAGAGTAAACGTCTCTCAGTCTCTGTGGGCCGGACCGGCTGTTAACTGCCCCGCTCTGCCGCCGTCGCCGGCACACGGAGGCAGGCGTGCTGTGCCCTGAAGCTTCATGCCGGGACGGGCTGCCGCTGGTCTCTGTGGTCCGTGCTCCCCGGGGGTAGCAGAGGGGCGGTTCACAGCTGCAGGGTCAGGTCAGACGTCACGGCCCAGATAGATGGAGACTCTCGAGCGTTATTAAAGTGCTAAGCAATTCTATTTCAGTGGTAGCTTAAAGGGAGTGAGAACTTAGGATTTTATTCATGGTTCTCCATGTTATAAAAATAACTTCTATTCCTTTTGTGTCAAGTCAAAGAAGAAAGTTTAAATTTATATTAATTTAATGCAGTCGCTTGTTAAAATGCCACATCTGAGATTCTCTGTTATCCTGTGTATCTGGAGAGTTGTCGACAGAGAAGCATTTACTGGTATTAATTTGCAGCGAGTGCTAGGGACCATTCTACGTTAATGCACTTTAGTGATTTTTTTTTTTCTTTCAGATATAATGCAGTATTCTGAGAAAAGACAGCAAAGGGCATGTCCTTTTTGTCTTTTGGGTTTTGTTTCTAATTCCACCTCTGATGTCATCTGTACTGGAGACCTAAACCAAGGGTCTCCTGTCCCGTCAGACCCTTGAATCTTTCCAGCTCAGGATGAAATTCAATCCTAGACCCTCGGCAGTGAGTGCCTTGAGCCGGCACTATGATGCCTTTTCACTTTGCTCTGTGAATTATTTTCCTGGAATGTCACCGCACACACTTCTTGTTAGCTACGTGTTCTCAAGCAGACGTATATGTAACTTGGTCCAAAATTCAGCTGGAATTCCTCTGAGGAAACTTAAGTTTCTTAAGTGAAGGTCTAAATGGTAAACATTACATTGTTTTATTAGTAGTTTCCAAGTCATCAATAGTAAACATCCTCAAAAACAACTGTATTTACCATCAATACTGTTTTGTTTGAAAGAGCAACTGTTTGATGAAGGGCTGATTACTTCCCGCATAAGGTCCTTTGAACTGTTTCCACCTTCTGGTCAGCACCCTGGCCTGTGTGTAGGTGGTTAGCTGTGTGCCCGTCACGGCCGCCACCCCTGCTCCACCCGGGTCCTAGTGGACGCGCTGCAGGTGGGCTCCCCGAGAGGCTGCTGTGGCCGTGGCCCTGGGGCTCTGTCCCCACAATGCGAGGCAAGAAGGCTTAACCTCTGCCGCAGCCTTAGCTCTGAATCTAAAGCTGATGTTTGTGGTAAATAAGTGGACGTCATTAATATTTACTGTTGAGGGAGAAGTTAGAAACCACGTTGCAGTATTTCTTTGATTATTCTTTCTTCTGAAGGCTCAAATTTTATTGAATGTCTCAGTTTTTCCAAATGATTAAAACACTGAATATTTCAAAGCTGCTTAATATGAATTATGATATTTTACTATAAAGTATCTGTGTGTATTATCATTACTTATTTTAAGATTAATATCTTAGTCTCCAAATAAGAGAGCTAAGGGAAATTTTACTCTTTTTAGTTGCTGTGTGTCTTAATAATAAAGCTCAAGGATTTAATATCATGTGGGCATTTTTCTATTTCTGAATACTGGAAATTGGTCTGTAGTTTCCATACTTTTCTCACTGGGTTGTCCTTCAAACACAGATGGAGCATGGGAACCGCAGATACGCTGGTGGCGGATACAGATCTAAACTGAACCTTTTTTTCACACTTCATCTTTCTTTTTTTTTTTTCCTTCTCTGTTACCTGCAGCAGACTGCTATGCCAGCAATCTCTGTTCTAGATTTGGTATGTTCTTGTTTCTTTCCCTTGGGTACTTTTTTCCTGTCTTGATTTCCTTTTTTTCCTTTTAGTGGTGGTGCTTTTATGTTTTCAGTAGATCTGGTTCTCAGGGGTGTCCTAGATCAGGATCTGTAGTTCCCTGACTCTAGAAGCATGCTTTTGAATGTGTTTAGATTTAGTTATTCTTTGCTTTTCTCTGTTACTTTTTAAGTGTTACTTACTGTTTGTTTATGGTTTTGACCTTTACTCAGTTTTAGTCATCAAATTCGTACTCTGTATTCTTACGTACTCATAAATACATAGGCAAATGAGAAATTTTGCAGTGAGTAATCTATTTTTTTTCTTGTTACATTAGAAATACGTTTTAAGTATTCATTATTAGAAGCTCAGTTCAACTGGTATTGACATTGTTTGCCAATTAAGATGTCTATTGGTAGAGAAAGAGGAATTTCCAGTAAACATTTATTCTGTGTTTTCTGCAGTAACACCACATGATTTTAGTTTAGTTTACCGGCCATACCAGTTCATTGCCAAAAAATACTTGAGGTCGCATTCTACTGTAACTGTGATATGTTTTATGTCCATATTGGGGAAATTGAGTTGGTCATTTAGCGCCCTCATGCTCGAGGGCGGTACCTCTCTCATCTGCCAGACACTCATGCTCTGGTGTATTGATACTGACTTTAAGTCAACATTTATTGTTAGTCAGCTTTTAAATGATATAAGGTCAGTATCTGACAATACTTTTAAAAAAAAATCTCTGAATCCAGGTTTGACTCTAATGGCCTTTTCACCAAATAACAGCGCTCCTTGTTTTGTTTTGTTTTGTTTTGTTTTGTTCTTTTTTTTCAATTTAAATAGCATGATGGCAGTGTCACTCCAAAGGGAAACCTCTCTTGCAAACATCTCCTCTCCTCGATGACCGAGAGGCGTATTTTCTGGGCTTTGCGTTTTTCTCCGCATGAGACAGAGATGAGAAGTATCTGCTTCTTTCCCTGCCTCTCTGTGTGTTAAGGTGTCCGTGTGGAAGCGGGTGGGAGACACCAGTCAGTCCCACTGTCTCTTCAGGTACCAGGTCCTTGTCACACGCGTGCAGGCCAGGCAGCCTGGGGCCTCAGCTTTGAGATGCACCGACTGCGGCCCCAAGAGAATCCTGTGTCGGGGCGGGGTGGGGGGGGCATGGTGGTGACAGGTGAGTGACAACACCCAAGGGTAAAGGGCGCACTGAGATTTTTATTTCAAAGGCGTAGTTCGGGGTTTTTCTTCCTTTAAAAGATAATTATTTCGAGTGCTGGTGTTGACTGTAAGCACCATGTTTCCCAGCATTTCTTAGCCTGATTCCCCAGCAGAGGTTGAGCTCTTGCCTTGTCCCAGGGGCTGTTGGGCACTGGGTCCCCCGGGGACGATGGGGACCAGGTACAGGCCTGTGCCCACTTGTGTAGGGCCCCGCCCGTGCGGTCTCTAAGGCCTTTCCTTAGGCTTTGTCCCGGGATTTTTATGGTGACGCGTGGGATAAATGGGAGCTTCAGAGAGGTGGCGAGGCTGCCCTGGCGGCTCTGGTCCCCGGGTCCCTGAGTGCCCGTCGCCCCGCGTGGGCCCGGGGCCGCCCTCCCCTGCGCTCACCTACCCCCTCCCGGACCCAAGCCTCCCGTGCACTTGCATACGGGACGGTGAGCTGCCGTCCGCTGCACCTGCAGCCTCCCCGCTGTGCCCGGCTCTCCCAGTCGCCCAGTCTGGGGAGCCTGTGGCTGGCATGGCGCCTCTCCCCTCCCTAAGGAGGATTCCCAGCTTCCTGGGAACCTGACGACCTGCAGAGTGGCTCGCTCGCCCGGGCCCGTGCTCCCTTTGCAGACTCCCCTGCACACGGCCGCCGCCACCCGGCAGGTCGCAGAAGCCCCGCGACCCTGCAGCGGCCCCCTGCCCCTCGAGAAGCGCCCCGGGTCTCCCGGCCCGCAGGACGCCTCCCGGGCCCACCCAGCGCTGCGGCCGCACCTGCTGACCTCTGAGGGGCAGCCGGTCCTGCCCCCTGCAGGCAGGAGGGGAGCTCAGCCTTCACTGCTCTAGGCAGCTGGGTGACCGCTTCTGTGGCCCTCTCGTCCGTGACAACTGCAACGTGCGCAGATGAGAAGGGCAGGCCTAGTACCCGATGTCGTGTAGACTAAGAGTCGAGATCCTGACCAGAATATGCTGGGTTCATATTTAGTATTCTTTGTGCTTCACGAAAATGTCTGCTGCTCATAAAACGGTTACTGCGAACCATCTCTCAAGGAGACGCTTCCGAGACCAGCGGTCTCTCAGCTGGGCCGTCGCAGCTTCGTCTCCTGCCAGTTGAGTGGTTCATCTTCCGTCTCAGACGACCCGACAGCTCACGGGAAGAATCCCTCCCCCTAGGGTAGAGCAGGGAGGGGGTGTTTTCAGAGGCGCCGTGGGCTGCCTTCTTGTTTGGCCTTTATGCAGAAATTGGCCGTAGCCCTCGGGAGCATCTCAGGCATGGAAGCAGTTGAATTGGAAGCTTTGTAGAAACTTCAAGCAAGAATCAGTAGGAACCCTAACGGAGAGTTGTACCTGCGGAGGGGCCTGTCTCAGGAGGCAGCAGAGCGTTCTCTGCCTGTTCAGGTGGGAGACCCTGCCCAGGATGTTGAGGCTGGAGGCTAGACACAGCCCACCTTCGGGAAGCGTCCGTTTTATTCAAGGAGGAGAAATAAGTTCATACTCAAACCAGCATGTGTGCGTTTGGGAGTAGAACACGAAGTTCCTGTGGTTGTGTCGGCGGGAGAACAGCTGCCCTAGGCGACCGACCTCACATGTCTGCTCTGGGCTGCTGTGAGCCACGCTGCTTACCTGTCTCTGCCGCTGGAGTAGGCCTGCACCTGTAGGTCTTCCCTTAGAACTCCGGACAGAATCATGTTCCTTCAGTTACAAAGAAGGGGACGGCTGCACCCGGGGAAGGGAGCCCCACTGACGGAGGGCCAAGAGCTGGTGTCGTCCAGTGGCAGCCCTTCCCCTGTTTGCTGATGGGGAGGGCCCTCCCTCCAGAGAGAAATTCCCCCCCACCCCCGAGACAAGACACAGCAGGAAGCTGCATGTGCTAGGATGGGACGCCAGAGTCCTGTCCTAATAAGTGGCCTATCAGGGGGCCTCTTTATCTGGGAGCCTTAAAGTTGTTTTAGGGTGAGTAGTTTTAATGGGTGGGAGCATAAGCAAAAAAGGCCTGCAGAGAGAAAGGGTGATGTGCTTAACAGACTTACAGTTGCTTTTCAGAGAAAATGTCAAAAAGTAAAGGATGTTTTGGCCCCGTTTTGTATTCAGATATTTCAACATGAAATTAAAGATACAAGTTACCGTATTTTTGTGGTACAAAAGTATAAAGTATAGGGCTTCCCTGGTGGCGCAGTGGTTGGGAGTCCGCCTGCCGATGCAGGGGACACGGGTTCGTGCCCCGGTCCGGGAAAATCCCCCAAAAAAGTATAAAGTATAAACACACAGATCTCAACGTACTATTTTTTTTAACTATTTTTTTCGGACTGCCTCAGTATCGCAAGGCCTTGGGTCAGGCTTGCGTGCTGCTTTCAGAATCCCAGCCTAGTTCTTGGTTGGAGTAGCTTCAGTCTGGGCTGTCTTGACTCACTCTATAAGAATGATTACTATGTCTATTCAAGTCTAGTTTCCCCAAGTAGAACTTCCTACGAGACTGTTTTGATAGCATGCGACTTTTCGTGCCTTTAATGTGAAACAGCAAGCTTGTCTGCTTTTCATGTAACCTCACAGTGTTCAGGCCCCGTCAGGCACTGGCTCTCAGAACCATTAACTTCCCAACTTAAGTTGAAGGGCCCTTTAACTGTTGTGAGACGTAACCGTACACCTTAGTGTACCACCCGGCTCTGTTATGTGGGGAAAAGTAAGAGGTTCTCTTTTCTCTCTCTCTCTCTCTCTTTTTTTTTTTTGTTTTTTTTTTTTTTGACTAAAGCAGCATATTTTTGAAAAACAAAACAGTCTGTGTTTTGAAAATGAAAATACGTGAAACAGCTTACCAAAGAGTGGAAAGAAACTGCCTTAGTTCTAACAGCACTGGCTCATTTGCTACCTTAAAATAGAAACCAGTGAAACAGCAGGAGGGGAAGTCTCCTTGTTTACCACCGTCAGGATTTTAAGAGAAAAATGCCTGTTTATAGATTTATAAGGTAGAGTTCTGTACCTTTAATTATGAGAATTGAAATTGTTCTGATTTCTTAAAATTATCCTGTTTAACTTAAAGGAGCTGATTCAGTGTGTACTGCTTTTCTTGCTCAGAACTTGTTTTTCATTAGGTCTAGAAAGTACTGATATAACATAATGAAATTAGTTTTTGCTTTATTGGGTAACAGAAACACCTCTGCTGCATTCATGCAATTTTACATTCTTCCACAAATTACTTTTCTGTAGATGTTTAATGTGATCAGTTGCTGTTTTATTTTGTTTTGTTTTTTTTTTATTTGGGTGCTGTGTCCCATAATTTGTGCTGATGACTCTAAAATTCCTGGGAAGTCCTTTCCTCTTCGTTTCCACGCAGCAGGGCACTTCTGACTGCTTCCATGCTTCTTAATCATTAGCATCTACTCCTGCTACAAAACCTCCAAAACCTGATCATTATCCTAGCATCCCTCTGGGCTTATACCTAGAGTATCCTAAGGAGGCAGTTTAATTAATTTGTTCTCCTTGAGAAGGGAATTTTAATTTTTTTCTGAGATGTTTTATTCTTGTTCGCTGACATGAAAAAGCGTGAGGACACAAGTTAGTTACTTTCCTACCAGATACAGTTTTTGTTCCACAGAAAAAGCAAGCAAGAGTCAAGTTGTTCGGTTTATGTTTGTCTTTGTTTAGGGAAAAAATACACTCGGACAGTTCAGATCCGGGGGTTAACATTTTCTGGGTTTGCTATGAATACTCTATAGAATAGCTAGTGATTATATAGATGCTGGAGTACACCCTGAGTGATTGTGCGTCAGGGATTCCTGCAGTGGTTACAGGTTGAACTAGATGGCCTCAGGGCTATTTTAATTTAAGATTTGGAGTCACCTCTTGTGCCACGCCCAGGTCTGGAACAGAAGAAGTAAATGGCGAATGCGAGCTTTTCCAAGTCGCAGTTACCTTAGGCTATAAGCGGACGTGGCAAAAAGAGACTCTTGCTCTGTTCTCTGCTAGTCAAATGTGCTTTTAATTCACGGCGTCCTAAGGCGTTTTCGACCTGTAGTGTACAGAGGAACGTGGCCAGGAGGGTACAGGAGCTGAAAGCCGAGTAGAATACGTCTTAGGTGTTTGAAGGTGTCCTTAAGTATTTGAATGGTATGAAGGACAGATATTAAATTTGTTTTGTATTGTGTCAGAAAGGCAGAACCTGAAGGACGAAAACTAGACAGCGATGAGGTGATGAATTTTAGGACAGCAGGAAAGCTTTTGGACTAGTAGCTACCACTGTCCTGGGAGGCAGGCTGTCGGCCCCAGACACTGAAGGTGCTCGAACAGAATGGACAGTTACTTGGCAGACATGTAGCAGGACAGAGTTCCAGTAAGGTGCCTCCCAAATTTCAGCTTCACATCCTGTGAATCAGACTTTGGGGGATCCCTGACCTGGGAAGGAATTCTTGGCGTCTGGGGTGGGACCCAGAGGGAACGGACGGCAAAGGGCCAGGATGGGCGCGGGCGGGAGGGGAGCCAGAAGCCTCGTCCCGAAGACGAGGCAGCCCGCCGGCCCGCTGGAGCGTCTGCTGCCACGTGAGCCCCGCCCCGCCCCCGTCCAGAGGCTAGTGTTCGCCTGCCACGGGCCGCAAGAGTGGGGAGTCTTTCTTGACCTTCACGGTGGAAACTGAACCGGGGCGAAGGAAGGGGGTGGTCCAATGTGTCTCACGGCTCCGTACGCTGGAGCCCGTTCTCTGCCTGCACGTGAGCTGCTTGAGCTGAGTGTGTCCTAGTGAAAGAACTGTGCTATTGCACGTGTGAGCGTCCAGGATAAATGCCTCCTCCTCAGAGCCACAGTCGATGGAAGCGTAGTTCTGGAGCGGTGGGGACGGGGTCGTTAGGTGGCGGGCTCTGGTGTCCGCCGGGACCTCCGCCGGGTGTCTGTCCTCAGCCGTGCGTGTGCTTGTGTCGTGTGCGCGTCTTGTGTCTGGCGCTGGGATGCTCCGGGCACGCACTGAACGGGACCTGTCCTCAGTTGCAGGACGAGGAGCGGCGGCGGCAGCAGCAGCTGGAGGAGCTGCGGACCCGGGAGGCTGAGCAGCGGGCCCGGCAGGAGGAGCAGCGGGCCAGGCGCGAGGCCGAAGAAAAGGTCCTGGTGCTCTGAGGGCGAGGGGTGCGCGGCTGAGGGGCCTGGGATGCGCAAGGGGGCCGCTGCTGAAACTGCAGCCCCGTCGGCCAGCCCGTCCCCGGCCCTGTCCTCTGAGCTGTCATCCCCTTCCCCCCGGGCTGTCCCCCCTCCCCCTTTCCCAGGCTGGCCCCTCCCCCCCGGGCTCTCCCC